GACTTTTATATAAATTCTCACATTATTTTAACTTTTTAATAGGTTTTTAAAAGTTAAGTTGAGTTCTGCTTATTTTGTGAATAAATGTTTATTTTATGAATAAACAGTTATTTACATCTTCTCACTGTGAATGTCATAACCTGAGTTATGAGAATCAGATTGACGTGTTCTAATATGCGTTAGAAAAATGAGAGGATAATCTACAAGTTTTGTATTGAAGTCAGAAGCAAATTCAGAGTGCAGAAGAGTCACACAATTCATTTTAAATTCAGACTTAACAAAACACTTTGTTTTTGGGCCGACTTTCTGTTTTTTTCGGGTCGGTTTCTATTAGGCCCGAATTCCCTTTCTTTATTTATAAAAATTAATAGTTTTAGGTTTATCATTTTGAGTTTTCATAAAAGATAAGAGCTTTGTATGATTTACATGGAGAACTAATCATCTCGGTTGATCTGCTGTATTCAGGTTCTAAAACTGAGATTATTATAATTTTGCAATTCAAATTCTTTTTCCCTTCAATTCTGTCTATGTTAAATCTCCCTTTCCTATAGAGTAGAATTTATTTGTTTCGATTGATTTAGGTTTCTTACTGTAACCGCGTTTAGCGTAGCTTTTGCGTCTTTTTCGCGTTGTTTTTAACCGAATGCTTAATTTGACAAATAAGAACATAAGTCATATAATATCGATTACGCTTGTTTGATAAATATTATAGTCGAAAAGGAAATAGGATCCGCTTAGAGATTTGGAATGTCAATAATAGATGATAAATGGGAATCAAATCAATCGATTAGTTTGTTAATTGTAATTGCAATCAAATTCGTTTAATCGTTTATCATCTCTTAATCGAAAATCAAAACCCCCTATTTTTTAAAGCTCGTTTTTTACTCATGTGCGACAGCGAATCACTATACAGGAACAAAGAAAATTACGATGCAATTCTTAATGCTCTACTTCCTTGTCTTACGGATCCGCATCCTTTTGACAAATGAATCTGCTTCCCAAAAATGGACGCATTATAGCTAATGCTTATGATAGGTTGATTTAACACAATTTGGTTTCTCAGAAATATTCTTCCCACTTCGGAGTAAGCCAACTCAAAATTCATCCAAACACTTCATATGTATTGATTGACTATGAAAAAAAAATTATTCAAGTTTATTTGAAATCGAGATGTCCTATACCAGCGACATTACCGTAGTGAACGACACATTTTTCACAAGATGCTGAAACATGGTCGGATCACTTTCTAGAAAGGATGGAAGAGTTCACCAAGTTTAGCGATATTGAATGAGAAGCAAATATGGAAAGGTCAAAGAATGAATCACCAATAGATTTAGGTAGTGACATATGTTTTGATATATTTTAATTGTAATCTAACAATGTAACATCTCTTTTTGTATGTAACACACTACATATGTAATAAAATTCGGTGATATTTTTGGACAATTTTTGTCTTTTGAAACTCTGCTATGCATAATCAATTGGTTATGTGCTGCATATTTTTTGGGTTGAAACAGAGATGCATCTCCGTACACACCTTATTATTATTTAAAAAAACAAAAACAGGGGATTATACGAACGTACATCTCCAAATAAACCCTTTTCTTGCATATACGATCTTGTTTGTAAGATCCTTATTGCTTAACACATTCTATAAATAGGGTCTACCATTCCATTTTCGTTACACAAACCAGAATGACTAAATATCCCTATCTTGTATTTGTGTATTTTAATGACACAAAACCCCCCACTTCAATTTCGGATCTGCGAGGACATACTTCTTGTCGATCTGAAAATCAAATTGAATATTCTCCCGCGGTATCTTGAAAATCAGAGAGTTGTCAAACTCGAGTACCATTCATCATCGATAGACAACAAAGGAAATATACAGTTCACCATGCTTGAACTGAATATGGATGATGATTTGAAGGTTATCTGGAGTACTTTTTGCAGTTACTTAACAAAGAGTCATAAACCACATGTTTTAAATGACATGTAATGTTAAATTTATGTAATGTTTGTTTATGTAATATTTATTTTGATGTTAATTTATGTTGGTTTTCCATTTTGTTACTGTTTCTGTCTATTTCTGTTATGAGCTAACAGATCATATTACATAGATGCATTTTCGAAAAGCTCATAAACTAATGAACATAAGGGATTATGGAGATGCATCTTCAGATCAATCTTTAAAGCATACAAAGATGAATCTCTAGATCAAATTCTAAAAAAAAAAAAAGTTTATCACCAATTTTGTCTCATGTTGTGTGTGGAAACGATGCGTTCGAAGATGAAAATATTTTAATCTTTTCCTAGTAGTGAGAGAGAACCCCTTAGGATAAGAATGCAAAGAGCAATTGGCTTGATATTTTCCATTCTAAGACATCTTGTGTTAGAATGTTCTTTTAATTTTAATTCATTTATTTAAATAAATAAATAAATATAATTTAATAGAAGGTTTAAATATCCTAAATTGTTTTTTCTTATAAATAAATATTTTCCTGCAGATTTAAAATCCGCATGCTTTATTCGAATTTTCTTTAAAATTTTTCAACAAATTTTCACCGTAAAACTAAAACCTAAATATCTTTAACAAGAATAGTTCAAGAAAAGAACAGCTTAAAAACTAAAAACAGAAATAAGTTAGAGACTATTTAAGTTTTAATAAAATTATTCTACTCATTATTTATTCTTCTAATTTTATTTTCTGAAAAAGGTTCAAAGAAATTGAATTGAATTTGAAATGCGGCACTTCAGTTCAGTTTTCCACAACATGGATCATTTCGATTTCTCAAATCGTCACTCCAACGGTGAAGTTCGCAAATTGCTCGAAGCATAGCGGCACTGCTTTCTCCAAATGGAACCATAAATCTCTCACTACCATCGCCTTATTGTTCCTTTCTCCCCTTTGAATTCCATCTCCGTTTGTACCATTTCTTTTCTGTTATTAGGGATTCAATTACATTTTTCCGATCGGTACTGATTTTTTGCTTCGAATAACAATGCAGTGAAGCAGGAGGAGAATGATGGCTTGTAGTGTTACAGAGCTTCACAGTGACAGCAAAGGATTGTTGAAATTTTCTTTCCTTCAACAAATGGTACAGTTTTCTATACTTTTTTCCCGCGTGAATTGTTGAAATTTTCTTCGAATTGATGCTGGATTGTTTTGATTCAAATTGAAGTTTATAAAAATTGTTCAAAATCCATTGCATGTTAGTTTACTCTGTTCACTTCAAACATTATCTGTTTGAATTATAGAATCCGATATTAATTCTCCTAATGATGAAGATACATAAAATTATAGAATGAAGTGAAATGAATTTATTGATCGTACTCATCTAACTAGCTCACTTCAAGTGATATTTAACGTATGCCAAACTTATTCATATTTTTTTATTGGAACAAGGTGAAGATATATGCAATTGTGATGGTGGATCTTTTGTGTGATTGTTTGTGTGCTTGATGCATATCAAGATAAGAAATGCTTCCCTTTGCCTTTATTTTGATATGAGATTTTTTTTTCAAGAACATATTACTATATACTGCAGAAAGGAAGTTGATCGTTCTTCTTATGCCAAGATCATATGGGAAGCTAAAATGAATGAAATCTTATCAATTTGCATGTCTGAACTTTATAGACATCTAGTTTACTGGGAACTTGGGAGAGTTTATCTCAGTTTGTTCATCTGGGTCATCTTCCTTAATCAATAGTGAAGGTGAGAGAAAATAAACATGAGATTTTTTTAAAAATTAAAAAAGAATTTGTTTAAAAAGTTGATTTAAATAGTTTCTTATAAGAAAAATTAGTTTATATATTTCATCTTCTTACTATGATATTTTTAGATGATAAAATTTTAAAAAACTATTTCAATAGCTTTTCATAAAACATATTTTTACAAAATATTATTTTGAAAAAATATACAGTTTTTATTATGTTAAAGTGGTTCTAAATTTTAAAATTATTTTTTAAATTTATAACAAAAGAGTTATAAATAATTTTTATTATTTTAAAGTTAGTTTTCATAAAAATTAATTTTAGAAATATTAAGATAAAGTAACTTTACAAAAGTCTAACAAATACATTTTAGTCTCAAACTATTAGAAAGATTAATAATACCTCCAGATGTTATTTTGACACTTTCGCATTAGTAAGAAATTATTTTAAAATGATAATTAATTTTATATAAAAAGAGAAATTATAAGATTTTTATAAAATTATTGTTTATTAATGATATAGAATAAAAATTAAAAGAATTGAAAGAAGATAAATGATAATTCCGGTTATATTATATGAAGGAACCTTAATATTTTACCTCTATTGTTCCATTTTTTAATCTTTGATTTGTTCAAGTACACATTGTCTAAACTCCTAGTATTAGTTTAAGATTTGATTAAATTATTATTACCTTTTCTTATCCGTTCTTTGAGATAAAGTATTTTTTTTAATTTATTAAATATTTAATATATTTAGTCTGACCAAAAAAATGAGTTGAACTTAGTTAACCCAGCAACGAACCTCAACTTGTCAAGTTATCGTGACCCATTCTTTCATATCTATAACGCAGTAAACACCAGAGCAAAAGCGTTGACAAAGAGTGAAAAAAAGAGTAATCTTGGAGAGAGAAAAAAATCAGCCTCTTTCTTGGACCTTTCTTCGCATCTTTATGAAGACTAAAAATGGAGAATTCACTCCGCTGAAAAGTCCTGGAGAGAATTTGTCACGACTAAAAAAACAAGTTAAAAAAACTTGTGGGACCTACCCTCAGATTTGTATTTCTCCACTGAAAGAAAGGGGTAACTGTTTTATTTATCTCAAACAAGTTTGTTTGCGACAGATCTAAACAGTCAGCGCTACAAGTAAGTGACCGTGAATATGCAACCAAACTTCTTTTCTGTTTCTGTTTTTGTTCTTATTCTGTTATCATCTGTATAAACCCCTCCACTCTTCCCTTTCGCTAAAACAAAGAAAAAGTGGTGATAGCTAATTGATTATCTGAAATATGCCTACTTCTCCCAAAGAGTACGATGTATTCATTAGCTTTAGGGGAGAGGATACACGTAAAACTTTCACTGCCCAGCTTGATGATGCTCTTAAAGATAAAGGTATTATTACATACATTGATTATATGCTTAAGAAAGGAGATGAAGTTGGACCTTCTCTTGCCAAAGCAATCAAGGACTCACATATCTCTCTTGTGGTTTTCTCAGAAAACTATGCAACCTCAAAGTGGTGCTTGGATGAACTCCTCCATATACTCCAATGCAGAGAACTTCATGGACAGGTAGTTATACCTGTGTTCTGTGACGTAGATCCATCACATGTACGTCATCAGAAAGAGAGTTATCAGAAAGCATTTGCAAAATACACGAGAGAACTAGCCAGCAGTAAATCTCATATAGACAAAGTGTTGGAGTGGAAAGCTGCTCTCTCTTCAGCCGCCAATATATCTGGATGGGACTCTCGCAAATATTGGTAAGTACAGTTTAATTTCATTTCTCTAAACTCATATTCATTCTTATGTTCTATATATTTGTAATTAACTTCTCAAATTGTAGGTAGTTAGTTATATTTGTATGCTGAATTTGTGATGAACATATGATAAGATGATTCTAGTTGTTGATAATATATACTCATATACTTGTTTTGCTACATATGACGGGTAGTCTCCTTTTCCATGTCCGATTGAACCATTCAGGGGTTGATCCTGTTTTCTTATAGCATTTCAGAAATTTACCAAATTAAAGTTTTCTTTAAAGTTTAATTTGTTCTTTTATCTTCTAGGAATTATTCTCAAGTCATCCGCGAAATTGTGAAAGATGTTAAGCAGAAGTTGTCTCTCATGTTTCCTAATGAACTGAAGAACATTGTTAAAGTTGATGAAAATGATGAACATATTGAATTATTACTGGAAAAGATACCAAGAATCGGAATTTGGGGCATGAGTGGAATAGGAAAGACAACCATAGCTAAACAGATGTTTGCCAAGAACTTTGCCCATTATGATAATGTATGTTTTTTGGAAAATGTAAGCGAAGAATCAGAAAAGTTTGGACAAATGTATGTTCGTAATAAGCTTCTCAGTGAGCTGCTGAAGCGAGAAATTACTGCATCTAACGTTCACGGACAACAGGCCTTCATCAAGAGGAGGCTCAGTGGTAAAAAAAGTTTTATCGTACTTGACGATGTTGATAATGCTACACAATTAGATGATTTGTGTGGAGTACTTGACGACCTTGGACATAACAGTAGACTCATTATCACAACGAGAAACAAAGATATTCTTAGTGGAAACGTTGATAAGATATATGAGGTCACACCATGGAAGCTTAAAGACTCTCTAAAGCTTTTCAGCTTAGGAGCCTTCCGGCAAAGCCATCCTAAAAAGGGTTACGAGCGTATCTCGGAAAGGGCAGTTGAGTATGCAGGAGGTGTTCCATTAGCTTTAAAAGTTTTGGGTTTACATTTTAAATCAAAAAAACCAAAGTCTTGGATATCTGAGTTGACTGATTATGAGAACAAAGGAGAAACCTTCCCCGGTATTCAAAAAGTGCTAGAGCTAAGTTATAATGGATTATCATGGCGAGAGAAGGCGACGTTTCTAGACATTGCATTCTTCTTCAAAGATGAAAACAAAGACTTGGTCACAAGGGTACTAAATACCTGTGATTTCAATGCAACTAATGGAGTAGAAGTCCTAGAAAATAAAGCTCTTATATCCATTTCTAACAGTAATACGATACAGATTCATGGCTTACTCCAAAAGATGGCATTTGATATAGCTCGACAAGAAGATAATGATCGAGGAAAGCGTCGCCGACTGAAAGATGCTAAAGACATTTGTGATGTACTTAGAAATAACAAGGTATGGGGTGTTAACTGTTAACATTTTCTAAATATTAAATTATAGTTGATTTGCTGTGGTAATGTAGTGACTTCTTTGAATTTGTTAGGGCATTGATGCAGTTGAAGGAATAATATTAGATTTGTCTCAAAAACTAGATTTAGAAGTTCAAGCTGACACATTCAACTTGATGACTGAATTAAGAGTTCTTAAATTCCACGTTCCAAAAGGCAAGAAGAAATTGGGCACGGTTCATCTTCCTGAAAATTTTAAGCTATGTTTTGAAAAATTGGCATACCTTGAATGGAATGGGTATCCCTTGAAGTCTCTCCCAGAACCTGTTCGCGCTGAGCAGCTGATTCATATTTGTTTGCCACACAGCAACATTGAACATCTTTGGTTCAAGAAACAGGTGCGTGTACTTGTATACTTATTCATTTGGTTTATGGGGCTCTTTCTTTGTTTTTGCTTCCTTTGTATGGTGTGAAAATGAATGGATGCTTGAATGACCAGTATAAATTAAATTTGAGAATCTTAATAAGATTTAAAGTGTCGTTTTGGATTATTGCAGAAACTTGTAAATTTAGAGGCAATCGACCTAAGTGGGTGCAAAAAGTTGAAGAACCTCCCTGATTTGTCTAGGGCGCCAAAACTCAAACAGTTGCGCCTTTCTGGTTGTGAAGAATTACTTGAAGTTCAGGCTTCTGCTTTTTCTAAGGACACACTTGTTACTTTGCTACTGGATGGGTGCAAAAAATTGTCAAGTCTTATGGGTGAGAAGCATTTAAAATCTCTAGCGAACTTCAGTGTCAAAGGCTGCTACGGTCTGAAGGAATTTTCGTTGTCTTCAGATTCACTAAGAAGGTTGGATTTGAGCAATACAGGAATCGAAATATTGCACCCATCAATTGGTGGTATGAACAATCTTTATTCGTTAAATCTAGAAGGTTTAAATCTAACAAATCTACCGATTGAATTGTCTCGCTTGAGATCACTTACTGAACTTCGGGTTTCTAAGTGCAGTGTAGTAACTAAATCAAAGTTAAAAGCCCTATTTGATGGTCTGAGCTCATTAACATTACTACACTTGAAAGATTGTTGTAATTTGTTTGAACTCCCTGCTAACATTAGTTCCTTATCATCATTGCAAGAGTTAAGACTAGATGGAAGCAATGTGAAGGAGTTGCCTGCTAGCATCAAATACCTCTTAGAGCTAGAAGTTCAGTCTGTAGGCAATTGCAGTAAGCTTCAATGTCTGCCAGAACTTCCTTTAAGCATCAAAGAGTTTCAGGCTGACAACTGCTTGTCGTTAACGACAGTATCCACTTTGAAGACTTTTTCAGTAAACATGATTGGACAGAGCAAATACATTTCATTTCAGAATAGCATTAAGATGGAATTGGATGGACCCTCCCTTGTCTGCATGACGGAAGATGCCGTGTTAACAATGAAAAGTGCTGCCTTTCACAATGTATTGGTGAGAAAGTACAGATTCCAAACCCACAGCTACAATTATAACAGCGCCGAGGTATGTCTGCCAGGAAACAGAATTCCAAGTCAGTTCAAACAACGATCCACCACATATGCCTCCTTAACTATCGAAGTTCTCAACTGGGTGGGCTTCATTTTAGCAGTTGTTGTTACTCCATCTAACATAACACAAGAGCGTGAATACTTTGTTGGAATCCTATGTCAATGCTATTCGGAAGATGGAAGGACGGAGGTGGGAAATATGTCTAAGTGGAAGCCTAAACTGGTTACAAATTTGAAAATGGATCACATTTTTGTATGGTATGACCCATTCCTTTGTGATACAATACTCAGAAGGAATGAAAGAAAGGTTTCTTTTAAATTTTGTATTACAACTTATACAACTAGTGGCAGAGAACTTGGTGACCTTTTAAAAATCAAAGAGTGTGGGGTATGTCCAATTTACTACTCAGAAAGTCAGAAGGTTTTAGGCACTGGGAATTTAGACAAGGACTTGGAAAAAGAGTTGTATCAGGAAATTGAACATGAGAGATCAGTTGAAGGCTATGATGAGGGAGAATGCATTGACATTAAACCAAATGACAAGGAAGGCACGGGCATACAGAACCAAGAGTTGGACTGCTTAATTGGTATGGAACTTTTTAAATTCTCTCACAAATGTTGTATGTTAAGTTTCTTTTGATGTTTCAATTTTACAAACCGTTTGTTTTTCTTTGATTAGATAGTCAATTTTTCTCTGTCAAACTCACCGTTTCTTTTTCTAGTCTCTAAAGATACTCAGGTACATGACAATGCTCAAGAAAAAGAAAATTTGGAAATTGAAACTTCTTCCAACAAACGAGAACAATTTGAGGAGGAAGTTTCTACTGGAGGAAGTTCTGATGTAAGGTTTTCTATCAATAAAAAAATTAAGGTGATACCTACTTACACCTTTGACCTCTTTATTCCTGCTAATTATATCACAATCATCCTCTTATTATGCTACTGAAGAATAACTACGGAGGCATTATTTTTGTTACCTTTCAACAGAGAGACGAGGGTTCTAGTGTTGATGAATCACACCCTACTAATTTTCCAGCAAGATTGAGTGTAACAAACAAGTTGAAGATATATGAGGTTTTTTATTAATTCCTTAATGAATTGAAATAAGCTTCATTCTTATTGCAAACTATTTTATTCCTTAATAATACTAATGTTTGATTGTATCTTAATCTACCAGGAAACTAAGAATCTTCAACAGTCACTACCATCATTAGTGAAGATTCCATCTCATTCTTATACTAATTTGTTACAACTAAAAGAAGCTCCCAACAAACTAATCCCAAACTCCTCAATGGCTGCTGAAAGTTCTTCAAGTAAACCTTCTTCCTCAAAGGGTCAAATAAGAACTGAAGAAGACTCTTCAAAATTAAAGAAATTGAATACTCAAGAACATTCTCCTGTGGATTATTCTGAATATAAGAAAACTCTTGAAGAAGACCCTTGGGCAATCATAGAGAAACTCTTATCCGATGAACCTGGTAGTACTTCACAGGCTTCTCAATCTACAACACAAGCAGAATCTACAGAAACTCAGAACGAGTCAATCAAGATGCTGCTTGATGAATTAAGGCAATTGGCATTTTCAAGGAACTTATTGAAAAATTTGGACAAAGATGTGACCCTTGAAGAGGATGTGAAAGCTTTATTAGTTAAAATCAATGATAGAGCTAATGAGCTTTCTGAGAAACAAAGTTCTGGTATTACTGATTTCACCACAATCTTTAATGAGGCCACAGTCAATATTGATGAAGAAAAACGGAGCAATGCTACTCTTCAACAACTTAATGTGGACCATGAAGATTCAAAATCCAAGCTTCAAGAATCTAAAAACAAGATGAAGAAGTTCGAAGAGTCCATCGTTGCCGGTGAGGATAAGATTAAGGTCATGGATGTTGAAATTAAAGATATTAGAGCACAGATTGTTTTGCTGGAGGAAAAAGCTCTTAAGGTTCAACAAGAGAAGTTGCAGTTAGAGGACGCCTTGCTGAAATGTAAAGAGAAGAGAAGTGGAATTTCTGATGAAGCTAAAAATGTAGCCTCTAAAACCATACAAATTCGCGAGAAGATTGATAATGTCAAAAAGAAGAAGATGGAGTTGGATTCAAATTATGAGAAGCTTAAAGAAGATTATGCCATAATGAGACTATCACCTCCCTTTTAGAATCCACCTTATTCTTATGCCTGTTAATTCCTATAGCTTTTAATACACTGTGAGAACAACTTCCTATAGCTTATAATTGGATGCCGCCCACCATGGAGAGAATTGTGATCTTTATTTTTAAACATTATATCAATGATATCAATGTGTCTCTTTGTGGTTATTTTTTACTTTATGTTATTTTTTTTTTTATGATTATATGTTTTCCGTTTTTTTATAATGGCAAAGAGGGAAAAATATATTTTAAGAGAGTTATATTCCTATCATTTCTTTTTAACTATTCTTATAAGCTACTAAGTCTTACTTATAAAAAGTGTCATATTTAAATAATGTATCATTTTTAAAAAAATGATTAGATGCGTTGGTTTTAATGATAAATCTAATATCATTTACTATAATACCCTTTACAATTATAGTTAATAGAGTGGAAGTTAATAAATAAGGGTATAGTAGTGAACAAATTGGTATTATAAAAGGACAATTATTTGGACAAAGAGAAAAAATACAAATGAGACACTTTTTATGAAAAAGAGAAAATACCTATTTGAGAAGCGCTTTGTAATCATCAAAAAGGGGAAGAATATGGCTCAATGTGTATAATATGTTTAAAAGGTTTTGATGATGATAAAGAAATAATGTAATTTATCATAAACATCATCAAATGAAGAATAAAAATTGAAGTAAATAAAAAATTGAGATGGTTCGGTTGTTTGACGCAAAAGTATCAAATGTTAAGAACATCATCAAGAAACGATGTCAATTTCTAAAAGTTCGCCTGTGATCTTGTGCTATATTTTTTATTTATTTTTATTGGATCAATAATGTAATACCAAGTGTGTGCTTGAGAAGTGTCAACTTTACTGATTTTCCTTAAGTACTTATTAACTTAAATCACAAGTAATCATAAGAAAATCTTCCAATTTGTCATAAAAGGACATAAAATATTTGTGTGAACTTTTTAACTATGTTATTTTGAAGTACAGGTGAAAATGAAAGGAAATCACAATTTATGAGCTAAATGGCAGAGACCTCGCTTGGTGAAATTGAGGCTCTTCCAGCCAAAAAAAAAAAAAAGAACATTCTCTAAGCTAACTACAAGACAAACCTTTTTGGGATCTCTTCGCCAAGTGAATAGTAGGGTCTCACTAAGCGAGCTATGGCGGTTCAAATATTACTTAAATTTCTTTCACAAAGAAGGAAGATATTTGCTAGGCAAGACAACTACCTTGCTTAATGAGACAAGGTAGTTCAAAGACTTCTTGACTAAGTTACTTTAGAATGAAAGAAAAGTTTTGCTCTCTAGGCGTGAAAGAGAGGATCACAAAGCAAATTATGGAGGGCAAAGCTCACTTTGGGATGAGTTGGACATGACTTAGAGGTGAAGAAAAGTAGGCTCGGTAGGCAAGCTAAAGGTGGAATTCTATAATAAATTCTTCCATGAAAGAATTATATGCCGACTTTGTTCTACATTTCAGGAATGTGTGTGAGATATATCCATATTTGTTGAAATATGTCGAGGGAGCTTTCTAGATCAGGTAAAGGAGAAGATTGTTTGTGCATTGACCAATTAGGTTAGACACTTTGGCAATATAATAACTAACATATTTGAATTTGCACATGCTAACTGAAGAATTGGTTGGGATAAAGGTGATTTTTTTATCAAGATTGGGACACCGTGGACCAAATGCTCAGAAACAAACATAATGAGGTACAAACATATTTTGGTCGGAGCATTACTGTGTTAGAACACCGCTTCAAAGACGAGTTCCTTTATTCATAATTGGTTGACAACATATCTCGGGAGGATATGAATTTTATTTTTCACAAAGCCAAGCAAGCGAATAAAACAAGTCCAGACAACTCAAAGTGTGGATGTACACTTAGGAAGACTTATGGTCTTCCATGTGCTTGTTTAATTTCCAAGAAGATGAAGCTTGAAAAACCAATACGTATAGATGAAGTTTGCACTAATTGGAAAAAGTTCCATTTTGATAATGATGGTGTGATGAAGGATGATAAATCAAATATAAATATTATGACCAAATGAGAAGTGATCCAAGAGAGATTCATGAAAGCTGGTGATATAATAAAATTGCACATCAAAGAGCAACTGAGGAAGATTGTCTATCCATAAACAACAAATTTGAAACCACCATCAGAATCAGTTAAAATAAAAAGGTGCCCCTAAAAAGGTCAAATCAACACAAAGTGACAACTCTACGAGACTGGGTCTCTTTCATACTTTGAACATGTTGACTCACATTTTTTGTTTTCTCCGACTTCAAGATCCCAAAAAATTGTTTTCAAGGGTGCTTGCATTAGCGAACCATCTCCAACACTTGTATTAGCAAAAATTAAACATATTACAGAGATTCCGCATTTTATGCACAAATACATTGAGCAAATTGTAGATGTTGAAGGTGACGACAACTTTGATTTTCGAGCTTTTTTAGGTTTGCTCGGTAAAAGAAAGGACGACTACCAATTTGTTCATTGTCATCTTACACAAGAGATGACAACGCGTATGAAATCATACACAAAGATATTGATCAGTGTATTTTAATAGACTATCTTTTAATTTGTGCTAAGACTTTTATATGACTTTTCACATTATTTTAATTGCCTTTATTAGGTTTTTGAAAGTTAAGTTGAGTTCTGCTTATTTTGTGAATAAACATTTATTTTCACCTTCTTGTTGTGCAAGTTATTACTTGAGCTACGAGAATCGAATTGATGCATTCTAATACGCGTTGGAAATCTGAGAGGATAAGCTACAAGTTTTGTGTTGAAGTCAGAAGAAAATTTGGATTGCAAAAGAGTCGTATAATTCGTTTTCAATTCAGACTTAAGCAAATACTTAGATTTTAGGCCGATTTTATATTTTTTTTCTGGGTCGGTTTCTATTTAGCCCGAATTCCCTTACTCTATTTAAAAAAATTAGTAGTCTTAGGTTTATCATTATGAGTTTTCACAAAAGATAAGAGCTTTGTATGATTTACATGGAGAACTAATCATCCTGGATGATTTGTTGTTTTCAGGTTCCAAAACTTTGAGATTATTATGATTTTGCAATTCAAATTATTTTCCCGTTCAATTCTGTCTATGTTGAATCTCGTTTGCTTAATTCGATTTCTTATAGAGTAGAATTGATTTGTCTCGATTGATTTAGGTTTCTTACCGAAACTGCATATAGCATAACTTTTGTGTCTTTTTCGCGTTGTTTTTAACTAGACGCTTAATTTGGAAAATAGGAAAATAAGTTAGATTATATTGATTGCGCTTGTTTGATCGATATTGTATTTGAAAAGGAAATAGGACCCCTTAAGGATTTGGAATTGTAACAATCAATGATAAGTGAGAACCGAATCAGTAGATTAGTTTGTTAATTATAATTGCAATCAAATTTGTTAAATCGTTTATCATTTCTTAATCGAAACTCCCCTTTTGTGTCAGTTGATTGGTTAAATATACTCAAGAGTCCTTGCGATACGACTCGAGTATCACTTTTGTTTACTTTATTTTTTTAAACTCGTTTTGACCTGTGTGCGACAACGAAGCACTATACAGGAACAAAGCAAATTATGATGCAATTCTGAATGCTCTACTTCCTTGTCTTACGACTCAGACTCTGTTCGAAAAATGAATGCGCTTCCCAAAATTAGGACACCTTATAATACGTGATTATAATAGGTTGATTTAACACAATATGGTTTCTCGAAAACATTCTTCCCACTTCGGAGTAAGCCGCCTCAAAATCCATCCAAACGCTTCATATGTATTAGTTGGCTCTAGAAAAAAAAATTTGTTCAAGTTTATTTGAAACCAAGATGTCTTATACCAATGAAATTACCGTAGTGGACAACACATTTCTCATAAGATGTTGAAACATGGTCGAATCACTTTCTGAAAAGGTTGGAAGAGTTCACCACGTTGAGCGACATTGAACGAGAAGCAAATATGGAAAGGTCAAAGAATGAACAACCAATAGATTTAGATAGTGACATATGTTTTGATATATTTTAGTTGTAATCTAACATAACATATTTTTTGTATGTAACACATTGCATAATATAATAATATTGGGTGATATTTTTTGGACAATTTTTATCTTTTGAAATTATGTACTGCATATTTTTTGGATGGAACCAGAGATACATCTTCGTACTCAGTTTTTAATTATTTAAAAAATAAAAAACAGAGGATTATGCGGACTTGCATCTCAAGATAAACCATTAGTTTTTAGAAAAAATGTGCATACAGATATGTAACTCTGAAGTCTTTTTTGCATATATGATCTTATTTGTAAGGTCCTTATTACTCAACACATTCTATAAATAGGATCTTCCAGTTTCTTTACACAAACTAGAATGACTAGATATCCCCATCTTGCATTTGTGTATTTTAATGGCGCAAAACCTTCACTTCAACTTCAAATCTGCGAGGACATACTTCTCGTCGACCTGAAATCCCAACCGAATACTCCCACGATATCTAGAAAATCGGAGAGTTGTCAAACTCGACTACTATCCACCCTCGATAGACAACAAAGGGAATATACAATTCACCATGTTTGAACTGAAGACAGATGATGATTTGAAGGTTACATGGAGTTCCTTTTACATTTCAGTTCGATTGAAGTAGATGCGGCGATTAAAAGATCAGTCGAAGATATTATAAGAATGTTGGACGTCCCAAACCATATATTTTTAATGACATGTAATGTTTATGTGATATTTATTTTGATGTTAATTTATCTCGGATTTCCATTCTGCCATTGTTTCTGCCTATTTCTGTTTTGAAATAACAAAACATATTCTAGAGATGCATCTCCGAAAAACTTATAGACTAATGAAGTAAGAGGAGTTACGAAGATGCATCTCCAGATCAACATTTAAAGCATACGGAGATGCATCTCTGGATAAAATTTTAATAGAAAAAAGTTTCTCACGAACTTTATTTCATGTGTGTGAAAAAGATGCGTCCAAAGATATATCTCTAAAGAC